TTGCCGCTCTCCGCGTGCACTGACACGTAGCTCGACAGCGCGCGCTCGCCCACCCGCCGCTCCACCAGCGAGTAGGACACCAGCGCGTTCTCCTGCGCGTCCGCGTCGCGCGCGCACACCGTGAAGATGTGGGAGCCCGGCGGGTTGTTCTCCTTCACGAACACGGTGTACTCGGGCTGCGCGAACACGGGCGCGTTGTCGTTCACGTCGGCCACCTCCACGGACACGGTGGCGGTGGCCCACAGCGAGGGCGAACCCCTGTCCCTGGCTGTCACCACCACCTCATAGTGAGAAGTGCTCTCGCGATCGAGAGTGCTGTCCAGCACTAGCGAATAATAATTCTTGAAGGTGGACAGGAGCTTGAAGGGCACATCAGGCACAAGGGAGCAGGTCACCTGTCCGTTGACACCAGAGTCGCGGTCGGACACGCTGATCAGGGCGATGACGCTGCCCACTGGAGCATCCTCTTGAACAGGGAGCGATAATGATGTCACTACTAACTCTGGAGCATTATCGTTGATGTCTAAGACGTCTATCAAGACGGTGCAGTGCCCAAACATTGGAGGATTGCCTTTGTCAACTGCCTCCACTTGAATCTTCCATGATGTCGTTTCTTCAAAATCTATTTTTCCATTTACTCTTATTTCTCCACTGGCTGAATCTATGTAAAACATGGCTTCTATCTTAGGGGAGACATCATTTGTGAAGGAATAAAGAATATAGCTATTTGAACCCTCATCCAAATCCGAGGCATTAGGTCTAATCACCAGTGTACCATTTCTTGCATTTTCCAATAATTTTACAGGATAGATTGCTCTGTCGAACACTGGGGCGTTGTCGTTTACATCAAGCACTGTGATTACTAACTCCACTGTGCCTGACAGCTCAGGTTTTCCTCCATCCGTCGCTTTGAGCACCAAGAGAAGCTCTGAAGCAAGTTCCCTGTCTAGAGGCTTTTTTAACACCAATTCCAGAGGTTTTACGTGCTCCTCCTTGGTTGGTACTTCCAGCGAGAAATACTCATTGGGGCTCAGTCTGTAAGTCAGAACGGAGTTAGCCCCAACGTCTGCATCCCAGGCGCCCTCTAGCGAAAACCGAGAGTCAAGCGCTCTGGTTTCAGAAACAAGCAAATTCTTTTGTGTCGCTGGGAACACAGGCGGGTTGTCATTAATGTCCTTCACCTCCACCTCCACGTGGAAAACCTGCAGCGGTCTGTCCACGATCACCTCCAGGTGGATGCTGCACT